TCATATTAGATATTTTAAATAGGGCAAGACCTCAAATCACTGATGATACTCCTAAATTCTGTGCTGAATTGATCAAAAGATGCTGGGATCATAATCCAGAAAATAGACCAACAGCTGAAGAAATTCATAATTGTTTTGGAAAATACTATTTCTCATTTAAAAGAGAAAAAAAAATTATTAAATTAGCAGAAGCTAATCGACAAAAAATCATTAATTCAGAAAAATACTTGTTAGATACAAAAAATTATAAACACCACCCAGAATCATTCTATACAAGTCATCCACTAGATGAATCAATTCAGAAAGCTGAACTGTTAAATTGTTCATCAACTAGATTGCACCAGGATAGTAATCTTCCTAACTTATTAATCTCAAAATATATTGGGTAATGATTATTTATTATTGTTTGTTATTATTATTATTATTATTTATTATTATATATAAAATCATGTATTTTTCTCTTAGTTGAATAATACAAAAGATTATCTTTTATTATTTAATTTTTCCATTACATATCGCAATTAAATACTAAGAAAACAAATGGAAACATCCCAATTTCCTTTTATTTTATATTATTATTTATTTAGATTATATATTTTATTTATATTATGTTATATTTGTAAAATATCAACAAAAGATAACCTTGGTTGTATAAAAAAGCAAGCCATTTTGACCTTTTATAATTTCCCTTTGTACTAGAAAGATGTTATTATTGTATTAAAAATCACGGGATTTCATTAACAGAAAGAAATAATCCATACAAGAACCATCATCAAACAAACTAATTGAGCGCACTTGTTTTTAAACTCAGATAATAGAAATTACAACTAAAAAGAAATCAATTGATGATATACAATAATAATCCCATCCCATCATTTCAATATAATCCTATTTTCTACAATGCTATTTAGTACATAAAAAACACCAATTCCTATAATAATAAAGACATTATTTTATTCTCAGAAAGAGATTTTGAAGTACATATTTCTTTTCTTTGCCTATTCTGTTATCTTCTCAACTGGTGTTATCTAATGAATTAGAGTAATCAGTTGGCATTCCTTTGTTCTGATCATCATTAAGTATCAGCAACTAAATTTCTTTGGTTTTTTCATTTTTTTTTCAGGTGGTTTTCATGAACTCATCTAGATCCAATTAATCCAAACTTACTGAATTTATGATCACAGAACTTTCCATCGAATTTATTATGAACTTTAAAATAATAATTTTCATATCACCTAAAAGTTGGTGAGATAAATTTACCAGGGTTAAATTTATATATAAAACATAAATACTCATTCATGTAAAGAATTATGTTGTAAGTTATTATTTTTAAGCAAGAACCAAACATGTTTTATATTTAAAATAAACTTATGTTGTTCTTCATGAGTTAGATAAAAAAATCAATGGCGTTTTAAATTAAATAAAGAAAAAATGTTGTTCTTTAGTTTTTCTTCATGAGTTAGAGAAACAAACCAATGTGCGTTTTGAATTTAAATAAAGGAAAACATGTTGTTATTTGGTTGTTCTTCATTAGTTGGAGAAAAAATCAATGTGCGTTTTGAAGAAAAAACATGTTCTTTGCGAATCAGTTGTTCTTTGTGGGTTCGAGAAAAAAATTAATTTTGTTTTAAATTTAAACAAAGAAAATTAATGCCATTCTTTAGTTGTTCTTCGCGAGTTAGAGAAAACGTCAATGTTGTTTCGAATTTAAATAAAGAAAAAATGTTGTTTTTTATGAATCAATGATTTCAGAGAAACATATAATGCAATTGTATCTTTGGAATTTTTTCATTGATCTATAATAAAAAAAATCATCAATTTTTATTTAATTAACTAGAACATATTTACTTCTTCCTCAGTTATCTATCAGGGAGGGGATAGAAGAAGAGCCATGGATATTCTAGACCGGGTTATGTAGTTGTTTCAGAGAACCAAAGCTTTGAAAGAAATAAAACGGAATCCATTAATCCTTCTGTCAGTTCTCAGGCCAAGTACCATTACCTTAACTGTACAGTCTTGTTTTAAAGAGGATCATGGTAGAAAAATGGTATTCTTTAGAAGAGATAGGAACTATTAAGGTAGTAACAGTAAAAAGCTTTTATGATAAAAACAAGGATTCATGAGATCAGTCTATGGGTAAATAGCAAAATTGTTAGTGTAGATGCTAGTAGTGGAGCCTAAGAAAATGGATACATATCAAATAGTCTATGGGCTGTGTAGCTATCTGTCTTCCCTCCCTTGCAACTCTGCAAATGTGTTTTAATCTTGAACATATTTTTCAATCGAAATGAAATAAATATATGCTATCAAGGTTTATTGTCTCTGTATATATTATATGTATAATGAATTATCTAGTTATTATTTCTAGCATATTCATTAGTAAATATTGTTTCATTTTTTTATTCTGGAATTATAGTTCAATGGCTTGCTATTATTCTAATGAATACTGAGCAAATCTGGATTGATTTTTTACTGATCAGTGATGCATGAAAGACAGCGCCGAACGGAAAATTTGGACGGATGATTCATTAGTATTAGTTCTTTGATATTGATAACATTGTGATACTCTATGATAGATAGCATGATGTATTGCATTAGTTCAAATACTTCAATAATTGAAACTGGAAATCCCAACTGGGTGGAAAGACCGCAGATAATATCTCCACATCAGCGTGTCATTTATTTATTTTTCGCGCATAGTACACATAGTGGCATAAGATTGCCTATTCACATCAAATAAATTTGTTTGTTATCGATCACTTTTTTTTTTAAGAAAAAGAATTATCTGTTGAAGAAAATTTTTGACAACTAAATTACAGATATATATATATATATATTGATGACCGTTGTAGTTATTGAATATTATCAAGCCTCCTGTCAGCAAATCGTTCCTTTAAAGAGATATATATACATATGTGTGTTTAAATAACTCTGGCATTCTTAATACTATAATAATAATAATAAATAAAATATCGTCCAAGAATTCAGTATATCAAGTTTATATGATAAAAAATTTGATCGCGATACAAAGAAATATTTACAGGTGGGAGTTTATAGATAACCTTTCTTTCTCTCCATCTCTCGTCAATAATAAAAATAATAATATTATTACTATTGAAAAGATTTACTATTAATTTTACCAAAATTAGGGCAGTTTCCGAGGGGCTGCTAGAAAAGGACAGGGACAGGGAATGCCCTGTCCCCTGTCCTTTTCAATAATTACTCCTGGAATCTATAAAAGGACAGGTTGCGGGACAGTTGATTTACATGAAAACATTAAAAAGGACAGGTAAATTCGAGGGACAGTTGTGGCACAAGCAAAGGGCAAGGTTGCCTGTTCTCTGTCCTTTTTCAGATTTTATTAGTAAATTATTGAAAAGGACAGGGGACAGAGCATCAGCCACAATTACCTGTCCATGTCCCTTTTATATAATTTCTTAAAAAGGACAGGTGGACATAAAACTTTGTAATTTAGATATACACTACACAAACAAATGTGAAGCTTTTCTGTGAGATTATTGAGTCAATTATTGCTCTTAATTTTATTATCATTGTTATTGGGATTAACATTTAATGTTGGCTTGGATCTGGGACACTTTACCAACAATCAAGTAAGGTTTCTAGCCCAAACTGTTTCTCAAAGCTTGAACTATTTTGGCAATTTGGGCTTTTTAACGTTTTTATGTAGAAACCTTACAATCAAGCCATCAGATGAATTTTGCACTTTAAACACATTTTTGTGCTTTAATTACAAAAAGTATACTTTAATAAATAAATAAAATTTTTTTGCATTCATAACTATACATGTCACTAAAATTATTGAATTGCGTCAGACACAATTAAAAATCTGTAAAATTGCATCTTGCGTCACTCATCATAATTTTTATGACTGATGCAAGATGCAATCCGTGATCGGGTTTTTTTATTTTTTGGTAATTTGGGAAAATGTTACATAATTTGTGACTTTTATTAATATTAATATGTTTCCAAAAGTTACTTTAAGCATCCCGGGAAACATAAGATACATTTATTTTATTAATTAATTCTTTATTGTAATTTTATATAAATATACGGATGTAATTATTGATTGTTAGAAGTAATTTGACTTCTAGGATTGTATTTGGAAAATTGAACATAAAATTTGTAAAAACTGTCATAATTTGATAACAGCGAAAATTAAATTATTACAATGCTATTGTAAGACAGTGCATATTCCATCATTCACGAATTGCGTCTCGCGTCACGAATTGCGTCTCACAGAGAACCAATTGCATCACAGGACTTTTAATTTTGACCACATGTATACCATAAAAAATATCACATGGTTGATAAATTAATTACATGTTAATGAATAAATTTAATAAAAACAATTAAAAATAACATGGTTGATAAATTAATTGTATGTTAATAAATAAATAAATTATATAAAACAATTAAAAATAACATGTTCAATAAATTAATTACATTTAATAAAAACAATTAAGTCCGAATATGCAATTTTTATCAATTCATCAGACAAAAAAAAAAAAATGCTACACATGTATCTATATTGTATTTTTATGAACTGGTTTTTGATGCAAAGTGAGGGGGATAATAAGTTGTGTTATTAGTTAATGATTTGTAAGGCAAGGTCAATATTCAATCAACAGTTGATTTAACTTGTCTGTAAAAAAAATCAGCCTTTTATGCATAACTTTTAGCTTCTACATAGAGTTATCCAGGTCTTCACACAGTCCTTGGCAAATTGTTAATATTAACACAATGCTTGTTGGTAAAATGGGGCGGACCCCTTTTTCCATGTAGTATATGAAATATATTAATATTTGCCAAAACCAAAAGTTAAATTTTATTATGTGCGTTTTTACATAATTAATACTTGGGTGTAAAAATTCATTTTTTATTATTTTTATAAAATAATTTAAAAATCTAAGTTGAATTATAATATTTTAATAAATAACATAATCAGGAAAAGTTTTTTTGGTTTTAGTTCTTTTGCTACTTCAGAGATCTTTATCACATTCTTTTTTATTAGTTCTAAAATAAACCTAAGGTTAAAATTTATTATGAAGTAAAAAAGAAAATTCAATGACAATTTTTACCTTTTATCACTAGTATTTGGGCCTTCAACTCTATTGTTAGAACTGATGTTAATTAATAAATAATGATTAATTATTATTATTTGTAGTATATAACAATACATGTAAATTTTTTTACCTTGAAATCGTGTGATATTGATTTGATTTATCCATAAAAAATTCCATCACTAAAGATAATGAAAAGTTAATAATAAAATAATAATGAAACAAATCATTGAACCAAAATCTCTATGAAACCTTACATTTCATTCCTGAAGTAATATTATTAGGAATTTCAATGTTATAATTTCTTAATTTATCTATTAAAATATCTACAAATAAATGAAAATATTAGAATATTTTACCATTTTAGACATTATATATATTTTTAATACTCACTTGTTTTACTATTAAAATAATCCAAATTGTCTTCCTCTAGATTATATGCAACCAAAGTTGCTAATTGTTGTTCCCCTGCTAGTGAAATTGGATTATTTGATTCTAAAATCGCAATCCCACCATTAAGATCATCATATTTGTAAATACCAATATTTTCATTAAAGTTTTTTATTAATCTACTATAAAAATGACTTCCACTTGTAGAAGTACTATATACACGTCCTAATAAACTATAATTCAAGCATCCAGAGTTTAGATGAAGAGGAAAATTCAAACTCTCTGATGAATTAGAACTACCATTATCTCTTTGGGTAATTTCGAAAATTAATATTTTAGGCCAAGATACTATGAATTCCTCATGATTTATTTTTCTTTTCTCACATTCATGTATATTTACACGTGAATGCTGACAAGGCTCATTTGGATGTTCACTTAAAATAAACCCATCTTTTTGAGCAAAAAGTGCTGAAATTTGTCCAATCAAATGTTTATTTTCATCAAAGAATGGTGTATTGAAATCTTCTAATCCATTAATTAGAATTAATGGTGTCATAGGAGTTGGAGCAATTCAGATATGACCTGACTCACACTTCCAAATTCTTATACCCAGAGGACAAAAATATGATAAAATATTTAATGAATCATTCTCCTTAATTATCTTTTCATACCATAAGGTCAATGAACCATACTCTCCATCTTGTTGCCATTTTTTTTCTAAGATATATTGACGAACTACCTCTCTTGCATCACTATAGCTGGATTTCTTGCTTTTGTTGGTTAATTGTCCTCTCATTATAAAACTAGCATATATTTTTTTAAGTCCTGAATTATCATTAATCATTGTCCCCACATTATTAGACCACCACTCTTGGTCTGTTAAATAATAGTTATAAAGTATTTGATGGGTAACTCTTCAGTTCCTGATGATTCAGTTTCTAAATATTATAATGTAAAAATAGATACACAGTATTATTAAATTATTTTTACTATATTTATTTATTATTATTATTTTTATCTGAAATTTCTTCATCTTCCCTATAGTGCAAGTCATTTAGTCACTGAACTTTTTGTGCCATGATGCCAATTTTGAGAAAAATTATTCCAATCAAAAATGAAATAAAAAAATTTAGTCACATGTTTTTTGAAGATCCAAATATATTGTCTTGACCAAAGTGATGTGATTTTTGCTCTTTGTGATGAAGACACAATCCAAACCAACTTAATTTAATGTCAACATGATGCTAAAATAGATAAATTTTTGATCTTGTGTAATATTTCATTATTATTATTACCACGTGATAAAGATTGACCATTAAAAATTCAAAGATTTCAATTCTTCCAATTTGTTCATTTTTAATATAATTTTTGTGTAACACACCATCTGAGGGTTAACATAGTAAATTCGTGAACTTTGATGGATCATTCCTCTATGGTAACGTTACATATCAATGAAATGAAATCATTGGTTTGTTTAGCTTTAATTCTATGATTTGTTTTTTTTTTGTCATACATTTCCATTTTTGAGGAGATCAAGGATCTACATAGCCAATAAAAAGTTCAGTGACTAAGTGACTTGCATCATTGTCTTTTTTCATTTTTTTTTTGATGTCTTCAGGAACTGTTCTTGATATAATGCTTTCCCTTTCACCTGTTTCAACTTGTTGCATAAAATTTACACATTTTATAAGATGCCCGTGACAAAGTTTTGCTTTGTTTGAAACAAAACAATCTGGTTTTACAGATGCAACAGGTAATGTATACTCTTTAATACAAAATTACAAACAGCTTTTTTATTTGAAGTTTTTTTTTTCTGTATTCAACAAAGTAAAGAGCTCTCAGAAATTGTGAGGAACTTTACCCATATCTTCTATATATATATTTTTTTAAAAAATGAATTGATATACCTCTTTGTCATACAATAAATTGGTAAAATTTATATTGGTTTATTTAAATGACTAACCCAAATGACCTTAATGACCATCAAATGACATAATCATTTGATGTCATTTGGGTTGGTCATTTGGTGGTCATTTCAAATCAGGCAAATGACCTGGTCATTTGTCATCACTGTTTTATAAAGCATTTTTACATAGTATCCCAAATCAAAAATCTTTTTTTAACTGGACATTTAGATGCAGTTTGTGGTGCGAATGTAGTTTATCTGGCAATGAATGGCAACAATTTGGGTAGATATGAAGACATCATAACTTTAGCAGATCGTGCAGTAGATTTGGCCTTAATGAAAATAACTGATATGGAATGAAGAACAAGAGTCTTGGAAGTTCTACCAGAGGTTAGTCTCAAATTAATTAGAAACATTTTGTAAATATTATGATAGATACTACAACAGATGAGCTTCATTCACATTGTTGGTCACTGCTGAAGGTTGGGGAGATGCAAACCCAGTAGAGCAACATCTTTAGGGAGGCCTCAAGATGTTGAGGGTAATATTTTCCCTGGCTGTGCATGACTTTTTTGTCAAATGCTTGTAGCCTATGTAATTTCTGAAAAATAGTACCATATTATGTGCACATAATATATATTTTGTGCAAACCTAACAAATTTCATCTGTTGCATATGATGATCACTTACAAAAGCATTGTAGATTTGAAAGTATTAAAAGCATTAAATATGGTAATATATTATATAATTGGTAAAAGTCCTTAAAAAAGTCAAAGCTCAATGTATTAATATTTTCTGATATAAATTAATAAATAGGATAGAGAAGACACTCCAGATAAAACGAGAGAAGAAATAGAAAAAAATTATAATGCATTAAAGTCAAGTCTTAGTGTAGGTATCCATAATTTATATTTTTGTTCTTGCTCAATTTGAAACTTTTAGATACTCACTTTTTCACCTTTTCATATAGAGTCCCAAGACTGATTCTGATGTATCTCTTTATGAAACCCTCAAAAAAAATTTGGTGAAATACATTATGACCTTTCATGGCAAGATCCAAAAGCTAATATGGTTTTAAGTGATGATTCGGTTTTAGTGGAAAATTAGGATGGAGACAAAAACATGCTTTCATGGTAAATTTATATGATTCACAAATATATCCATGAAATGATACCTAGTATTCTTACTTTCTTATTTATTATTAGGAACCATGTGAAAACATGAAATGTGCATTACCTGAGTCAGTTGTTTCTAAGTGTGAGCAGTTTGTATGTGATTTTAATGAGGTGATTAATACAGATATACCTAGAAACATTGTACATGATAAGACTTGGAAAGAAAAAATATCTACATTAGAGAAAAGAGCTGAGCATATACTGAGTGTTCTGTAAGTAATTTTGTTTTCATGGATGATTAACTAATGATTGGTTTCTTATTCTTCTTTTACTCATTTAGCAGTGAGGTCTGGAATAATCCTGCATTTAAAGATAGTACAGCTCATAAAGAGCAAAGTGAAGGGACCTATATTGTGGATGTGATAATGCCTTTACTTTGAGCTAGTTTAGAGGATATGCCAAACGGAAGAATTTGTTTGAGCATGTAAACAAAATTTATATTTAGCTAAGTAATGACCTTATTATGAAGATCTTTAAAGTTGATGTTTATTACAGGGCAGAACGGCAGTGCTTGGCAAGCAAATTTCAAAGGAATCTTGGTGAGGTAGTGGAAAACGAATTGGGAAAATACCTGATGTCATGGTACTGATGAAGTATTGAGGAAAAATCAACAAACTTACATATGCAGAGTGCTCTCAAATCATTTGTAATGATACAAAAAAAGCTAATGATGAAGTAAAGTTGTGGCAAGAAACATTGGATGGCATGAATTTTGTTAATTTAGGATGCAGACCTTGCAATCTATTTGGTATAGTAGGGATTCAGGTTGCTGGTGAAAATGTGTATTTGAATGTTCTAGTAAATGATGCAGGTAGTCTATCTCACTATTTTCATGTCAACCATGCAGGAATTCCCCTAACACCAAGATCACCACAACAATTAAAACTGCTTATACAACTGTTGTTACCTTAAGGAATATTTTGATTGTGAGTAAGAATTTATTAATGCAAGCCTTATATCTGGCTAACTCAAATCCTTCCCAAAATGTCAAACCAGCACAATTAATCCTTTTAAAATTAGAACATTTGTATTTCTGTATGTATTTTTTTATATCTATTTTCATATATAAAGCAGTTGAAAAAAAGACAGAAAGAGATTCTATGCTGATATTACTATTTACTTGAATTCGAAAATACAAATAATAAGAAATAATTATTCTTTTGGTTTTACAATAACATGAACTTGTTTTGGATCAGGAGTTGCATTGAAATATTCAGACACCTTGGCTGTCAATTTCGTAGGAATAAATACATAGAGATTGAAATTAGCAGAAAGTTCTTGATGACCTTGATGTCTCAATAGACCTTCAATTGCATATTTAAGTGTGGCAACCTTATCTTAATAGGATTGGTCATTTTGCATTTGTTATTATTATGTACATTATTTCCTTTTTTGTAGAAAAAAAATAATATACAAAATTTTCTCAATCCACCTTTAACTTGATATTATGCACCTTCTTCCTGAATGTCTAAATGCTGCGAAATACCCTGGTAAGATAAAGTTTACTCATAAACTGTGCTGATGTTCTTATGATTTATAACATAACCTATCACTTATGATCATTTAGCCTTTTGGGAGAGTACAAACGAGCCTTCACTCAAAAAATTTTTAGATTTTTGACTTTCTGCTGGAAATTTAGAAGACATGAAAACTGAGTATGATCACTACAAGAAAGAACTGAATGAAATCAGTAAAATCTACACTGAAGTATCCGAGATTGGACAGGAAGTACTAAAGTGGAAAACTGCTTTTAAGGCAAGTAAAGTGTACATACTATTTGGATTAGAATCATCAGTACATCAACTACTCTACAACCTGTGGCGCTTGTAGTGGGAATGACTGCTTGTCTGTTGGTGAGCTATACTCAATGGACTTTGGGAACCAAGTGTTTGCAAAAGATAGTTGTTCAATAATTGAATACAATATAGGTGCTTGACTGTTTGTGATGTCTCCTATTGTATTTTTTCTTGTATGTGAATTGGACCAATTATCAAACAAAGTCTGTTAGGCACAGGTACTCATGTTTTATATTGCTTGTAGGGAAGCAAATGGTCATTGATAATAAAGCTTTTTTGGAAATTTCAAGATGAAAGACAAAATATTGCGGCAAGAAACAATTTACAAGAGGAACAAGCAAGGATGAAAATTCAGGAGTTGCAGGTATTTCATTCATTCCCCAATTAGCTAATGTGATGGATCAAAAATTTACTCTTGATTCATTTCTTGCACACAAACAAACCAACATATAACTGTTGCTACGGTGATGACAGAACAAATTCAAAATATGCCACTCAACTACCACCAGCTAAGGTTGCGGGAGAAACTCCTCCAGAAATCAATCGACAGAGTTTTGACAGTCATTAAGAGGTTTCGCCCACAACCTTACCACCAGCATCGTGAAAAGGTTCCTCAATAATAGCAACAAAAAAACATCAAAATGTAATAGAACTCATAAGGTGATGATTTTCATTGATTTACTGTTGCTGGACTAACAAAATTTTAATTGATTATTCTTTGTAATACAAACAAGATAGTAATAATGATGATGATAATGAAGATAATCCTTTTTGGGTACCAGGTGAAAAATCAACCATTTCCCAAGACCAACTTTCTTCTGATAATAATCCTTTTTTGATATCAGGATCCAATGATGAATTTGAAATAGTAGCAAAGTTAGGGAATTTAGATGAGGTATGGTTGGGGTGTTACAAATTATAATAAACACAAACATAGTTGAGCACACATATAAAAAATCATATGTGCGGATTTTTCA